ATTCAAGAGGACGCTACTTTGCACGGAGATACGGTAAATTTGATTTTTTTCAATAAAGACAGTTGTATTTATACGTTTACCTTCTCCTCTTGTTAAATAATTAATAACATTTACTCAATATTCAATCTCTATATATTTTTAACAAACAAATTTTGGGGAAGAATCATTTAAATATGTTCTGCGCATTGCATTTTTTTTTGTATTGCGCAACTTCATCCAACTGATAGAAAAGCGCGCCATATTTGATTCGAAGTACATTTCTGAATGTATAACTTTTTATTAAATATAACTTTTTTATAAAATATAACAGCATAATTTTTTATTAAATATCATTTGTCACTTGTTACAATAATATATTACATACTTATTCAATTGATAGAGGAATATCAATCGCATTAATAGGTTCAGACTTATTCAATTTTGTTTGTGGATATATAAATTTGAAAAAAGTATAAATAAATATCTTTTTTTTAATGAATAATATTTGTTGTACACTTGTGCCAGCACATTTATTACACAGTATTTATAATTATTACAATTATTACGTATTGTAAATAAATAATTATCATTTCCAATGTATACGTAGTATGTAGAATATTTTTAGAATTTTTTTCTTATTTTGTAATTTTATTTCTGATCGTCTACAATATTTACGAAACATTGTGTATTTTATGATTTTCAAAATCATAAATAATCTATTAGTTATTTTGTCAATTATTCGAAAAATATTTGGATTTAAAATGACATAGCCATCAGACGTCGAGCATGATATCCGTAATTGTGCAAATACACGAAGTACGAATAAATACACAAAGTATGAATAAGTACAAAACTTAATTCTCAGTAATTACGCAATGTCGTAATAATTCTTCATCAGTTATGATGTTATTTATAGTTCTATTTTAAATTTATACGTTATCCCTATTAAATTAGGATACATATTTACGATATAAAAAATACTTTGCATCATTGTATGAAAAATAAATATTTTTCAGGTGGAAAAACGTCTTATCTACCAACATATTCTGCGGCATAGTAGTCACAAACGACCAAATCTCATAATCTATATAATGTTCTTCGCGGCCGTGCACGGGTATATAACATGCTTGATGATTCGGTTGTATCTTTCCTATGTGATATATACCGTCGTGTAGAACTCTGCCTATAAAAAGAGCATAGCCGTCTTCTGACTCACCGGCAGGAAGAGCATACAAAGGAACACTGCCTTCCCATGATTTTACCCAATTCACTTCTTTACCACACAATACTTGAAAATCCTTTTTATCGTGGGAGGCTCCACCCCATGGAATTGTACATACATTATTCCTAATACCACCAGGTGTAAGCGAATCTCTGTGATGAGCACGACCTATGTACAAACCATCTTCCGAGGCCATTACAGCATTTTGAGGAAGACCACCTGATTCATTGTAATCTATCCAACAATAAGAAGTGTCCACCATTTGTTGTCTGACAACTAGAGATGTACATGGTGATTCTAAAAAGAATATATATGAATGGACATATTCATTAACTTGTAACGTCATTTGATCAATTTACCTTCTATCAAAAATTCACCAGTTGCACCCCACGCAGTGCTCACTCCTATGTAATTTATAACAAACGGATTTCCGTCCTTGTACGACAAAAAAACTTCGCCATTTTGATGGCCAACTTTTAGAGTTCCATCGCAATACCATCTAAAAGTACATTGCATTGAATTACAGTTTCTCTTGGACTTAATTACATTGAAATTTCGTTAGAAATAACTATAATTTGGTTCCTTACTGAATCCAAATATTGCACATATGCTGAACATTTAGTATATTTCTTGTTTCTGCTTCTGCCACATCTTGTTCTTCATTATTCCTTTTTATTGCTGACATTGTGTTTCCCCATCCTCCAATAATGATCTGCCAATGTAGAATAGAATATATTTATACTACATGTTATGCACAACTTTACTGTGCTTAATACTTCTAATAAAATAGACATACTTCATATATATTTGAGTCTCCACCTAAATGTGTACGTAAGGAAATTCTTGCATCATGTGCAGCTTGCACACTCAGTCTAAGGCGAGATTTTGTGATAGGAAAATATCTATATTCTGTACTATCAGGCGTAATAATTCTAACTGGAAAAAGATTAATTTCTTTATCGAAAATACACTTGGAATATGCAAGAGATTAATTTTTTTATTAAATACACTTAATTCTAACGTGCAATTAATGTAATGATTCATATTATATAAAATTAGATAACGCAGTGTTTAAAGGATCACTGCTCTATTTGTTCAGTATATGATTGGTTTTTAATAGAATAAAACGCTTATCCTATTTAATGGAAACGTAAATTTTATTTATTTAATGCACACAGTTTCTTACAAAATAGGTGATAAATTAAATAACAATGGAATTTAAAATCGCAAAAGATTGTATAAATTTTTCACAACAGGCACAATTACAATAAGCATTTACATCAAACAAATACATTCAAACAATAACATTGTTGTAAACGAATATGTAATCCGGTAATCTCTCTTGTGGCGTTATGCATTAACAGGAATCACTGTATATATTAATTAATCTATCTTGGTTAAACATTCTATAATTAAAAAGCAAATCGTACAAAATTCACATGTTGACATTTCGTCAATGTATGTACTTACTAAAAGTCATGGTCGTCAGTTCGATCTCAAAATAACGTTTTGTTATCGTTTGATAACGCAATTGACGATGCAATCGCGGGATACAACGACAACAAAGCGGAAATACGCGATCGAATTTTGGATTTTCCCGATCGATGGTATTGGTTATGTTTCCCGTATGATCTCATCGCAGAAATATACGATTTGTCACATTATCATTCAATCAAATTTCCTCACACGAGTAAGGTACCACGAGTAGGATCGAATATTTCTTCAACTGGCACTCTCCCAGGACACTATGCGCATGCGCGGCGCATAGAACAATGTTATTGGCACGAATTCAATTTTAATCGGGAAAAAGGAGAGGACGAAGCGAACGCATAGAAGGTTATAATAATTTGACTGATATTATTAATTGTGATGTGTTACAATTGTCTCGTTTATCACAAAATCACGTTTCAAAACATCTAATTATCATTGCACGGTATTATCATCGTGTCCAGTTATACAAAGCATGCGTGCAAAGATGCGCGAAACTGAAGCTGCAACCAGTATTACCACATACCATTGCTACTTTCGCATCAGAAATCTTTCTGAGCTTGAAAGTGTAACACGTCTGTTTATACCTTATACCTTGTACCCTAATTATTCCTTATTTACCGTACGTACCGCGTTTTTTTTTATGTCAATCGTATTTTCACAGTTAACGATTGGAAGAAAACAACAACAACAAATTTTCTACAAAAGGATAGTACAAATTCAAATTTACCGCCCAACAATAAACATGCAGTACGACGCATACACGTGTTTCGTACACGGCTTGTAAAAGGTAAACGGTGTTCCATATGCAACGACATCAAAGAAACGTCCGCTTGGAATTAGTTTACCGTCCACTTTCCATTTTCATTTTACTTTCTTCGCGTCGTACCGATCGATCGCGTTGTTACGCGTTGTACGACTTTTACCATTCTGTGGTCATTTGAAAATGATCTCTTAGAAGATGACAATTTTGCCGATCTGGAGGGGTGTATTTCTTGCAGGGAATAGAAAACTGTGTCAACAGGTCGTTTTACGCTCGTGTGCGTGTGCGCGCGTGTTACAATTTAATTTCGACGAAGAGAAGTCGCATTGCTAGAACAGAGGATCGAGTAATATGATCCGTAACTTTCACTCTTTTCTCCATCTCTTCTTTTTTCCCCCCATTTTTAAACGTATTTCTGCGACTTAAGATATACATTTTGCAGAGTCAGAGGAAGAGAGAGAGAGAGAGAGAGAGAAAGAGAAAAATGAAGAAATAAAATGTTTTACATCAGTCTGTTTACAGCAACTGCAGCAGTCTGTTTTATCATCTGTAATTCATGAGCGGAGCCCGAGGTATCCTAGGTCATTGCCATTGACCTATTGGAATTCAGCTGATCGACGTATGTGCATACGTCGATGTACATACGTTTCAAGTGTATAAGCGTGTACGGAAAGTAGAAAGCATCGCGAAGGATAATGACAAGGATGTAGCCGTGTCATTCCGGTTTTCATGTCGGAACGCAGCGTGCGATCATCGTATTGCGATCTACATACTCTGCCTCTATAAAACCACTGGATCTTCAGTTCCATCTGAAATTTTCCCTTTCTCGGTGTTGGAAATTAAAACCAATGAAGTGCTAAAAAAAAGCAGAGTACTTTCGTTGCAGTTTCTGTCTTGGAGAAGAAAGGATATATATATATATATATATATATA